TTTCCTATGAATGCAGGGTTCCAAAACATTAGACACAAATGAGTTGCTGCGGTCGTATTCTTGCACAAACAGAGGAAACAAACACGCGGTAAAGTAGTAGTATTCATGTGCAAGAGGAGGAAGATAATAGTAAAAATCCTGTTTAGTGGTCCATCTAAATTTGGCCCTGAAGGATAAAAAATTTTATAGATATTTTTGCATTAGAAATTATTGTCAAATTTATCACAAAAAAATTTAGAGTGATGTACATACAAACACCTTTTTACATCTTTCAATGGGCTTTGGAGGTTCACCTTAATTGCATTGTTTGAAATTGTTGCTTTATACTAACCAACTCTTTCTACTATCAATTAGTCAGTATTTCGTGGCATTTCCTATGAATGCAGGGTTCCAAAACATTAGACACAAATGAATAGCTGCGGTCGTATTCTTGTACAAGCAGAGGAAACAAACAAGCTGTAAAGTAGTAGAATTCATGTACAAGAGGAGGAAGATAATAGTAAAAATTCTGTTTAGTGGTCCATCTAACTTGGCCCTTAAGGATAAAAAATTTTATAGATATTTTTGCATTAGAAATCTCAAATTTATCACAAAAAAATTTAAAGTGATTTATATACAGACACCTTTTTAGTTTGTATATTACCATTTGATGTCCTTTTCCCCATAAATTACGAGGTGTACCCCTCCCCTCATGTATTTTTTTTTTTTTTTTAAGTTGCCCTCATGTTCGACAATAACAACGCATGACAGGAGGTACTATTCATTTTAACAAACCATGCATGTCTGATAGTTTCGGTAATGGACAACTGGTTGCAGCTGCATAAAGAGCGAGTGTGTCCATTCATTTGTCCATTTCATTTTTTATGAGTTAACTCTCCCTCTCTATCATCTGTCAATCTATCATCTCTCTACCTCCCAAGAGCTTTCTCATAGCCTCAAGCAAACGTTCGAGGTCTCAAATCTATTCTAGCATATACTCTTCCGTTTTGCAATCTATCAAGTATGTTTTTATTTTATTTGTTATATTATTTATAAATTTATGATGGTGGCTTCTAATGTATATGTATGTGTCACAAACCAGACATCGTAACCAAATATAAGGGAGCATAAACCTATTGAACATACCTCTGCTATTGTGCTCTGATGCCACATGTTGTACTCTGATACCACTTGTTGTGTGCGGAAGCTCTAAACCCGATGGGTTAATATTTGACAAATAAAGTATGAGAAATAAAGCATGAAACATATACAACAAGAACACAAAGATTTTACGTGGTTTACCTCAAAAGGGCTATATCCACGGGTACGACAAACTGAAATCCACTATATCAATGAAAGTTACATCAAATATTTTGAAAAAAACCTCGACTAAAATCCCAAGTCGAGCGAACGCTTTTAAACCTGCTCTCCCAAACGGCACTATTGCCGATCTCTCATCTCTATTCCATAACTAGACCATTGTCAGGGAAGAGAACTTTGATAGCAAACAAGACTCTATCTTACTAAAAGCACCCAAAATCTCAATGTGAATTGCTTCTCTACAAGAAACAAACAAGTTTCTCCATCTTCGGGAGTTTAAAAGAGGCACCATCATAATGTTTATGTCCAAATGAAGCTTTCTTCTCACTAAGAGGAAATTGCATCTTATGCACAGCCGCTCTAGCTGCCTCTCTCTCCAGAAGAACCACCATTTCCATATGATGACCCAAATAGGGTACACAAAATTCTCTGCATTTTCATTCCATATATATAACAAACTTCCTATTGATATTACATACATATCAAAAGACCAAGAGATATATCCATCCAAGAGTCTTAATCTTTTTGGATTTCTAGTTCTTTTAGAAAACTTATCAATATAAATCTCAATCCCACATAATATGGAAATATCTCAATCTCACATAATATGGATTAATCTCAATTAATCCCACAAAATATGAGATTTATTTATGTGGGTGATTTTGGATAGCACCAAATCCAACAATCTCCACATTGATATCAAAATTACATGTTCACCATGTCAATATCCATTATTATGTGGGATTCAGATATCAATCACACATAATATGGGAATATCTCAATCCCACATAATATGGGAACATCTCAATCATATGATATGGATCAATCTCAATCAATCCCACAAAATATGGGATTTCCTTAGGTAGCGGATTTTGGATAGCACCAAATCTAACAATCTTCACATTGATATCAAAATCACCTGTTCACCATGCCAATATCTATTGGATAGCTTTACGGATTCCTCATCTTTTGCCAAATAAATTTATTCGTAATTTTTGCTAAAAAATAGTGTTTACCATCAAATTTCTCCACCTCGAACCGTGCATTTGAAACCTTTACTACCATACTAAAAACCCCAAACCAGGCTCTGATACCACTTGTAGTACTCTGATACCACTTGTTATGCTTTGATACCACTTGTTGTGCACAGAAACTCTAAACCCGATAGGTTAGTATTTGACAGATAAAGTACTTGAAATAAATCATGAAACACATACAACAAGAACACAAAGATTTTACATGGTTCACCCCAAAAGGGCTATATCCACGGGTACTTCAAACTGAAATCCACTATACCAATGAAAGTTACATCAAAAATTTTGGAACAAACCTCGACTAAATCCCAAGTCCAGCGAACCCTTTTAAACCTGCTCTGCTAAACGACACCATTGCCGATTTTTCATTTCTATTCCATAACTAGACCATTGTCAAGGAAGAGAACTTTGATAACTAACGAGACTCTATCTTACTAAAAGCACCCAAAATTTCAATGGGAACTGCTTCTCTACAAGAAACAAATAAGCATCTCAAGCTTCGGGAATCTAAAAGAGGCACCATCAAAATGTTTTTATTCAAATGAAGCTTTCTTCTCTCTAAGAGGAAATTGTATCTTATGCACAGAGGCTCTAGCTGCCTCTCTCTCCAGAGGAACCACCATTCTCGTATTGTGACCCAAATAGGGTACACAAAATTCTCTGCATTTTCATCCCATATATGTAAGATTATGCATCCATACAAAATAGGGAACTTCCTATTGATATTATATATATCTGAAAAGATCAAGTGATATATCCATCCAAGAGTTCTAATCTTTTTGGATTTCTATTTCTTTTAGAAAACTTATCAATATAAATCTCAATCCCACATAATATGGAAATTTTTCAATCCCACATAATATGGATCAATCTCAATTAATCCTACAAAATATGAGATTTCTTTATTGGGTGATTTTGGATAGCACCAAATCCAACACCCTGCCTCATCAGCAAGATATTAGTTTGTGTGATAAAAGACCTTCAATTATGCATTCATATTATTGCAATTGTTCTAGTATTTACTGAAGCCATGAGCTAACATTTTTTTTTTTAAAAAAAAGATTAGTCACGAGTTAATCTCATTGTTAAATTAACACTTGATATTATAATTGAAAACAAGAACATAAAACATAAGCCAACTATTAGATTGAAATTTAATATGCCACAAAAAATAATCTGCCATCCTCTTTTGTTCTACTTCAAATCTGAACAAAAAAACTTCAAATATGTTCCAAAATACTAGTAATTCATTCCATTAGCAATCCCCTCACTAAAATCCCAATTCACCATTACTCGTATTTTTCCCCAAAATAATACACAACATTACACATCTGTGTAAATTTCTTGATGATGGACCAATTATCAAAGCCCTAGAGTCAATTATTCAGTAGGTACAAAAATGATGGAAACCTCCATAAGAAAGGATGAACAAAATGAATCCAAAAAGGAGATGAAACCTACTTGATAAGCACCCGATTAGATGGTCAAATGTTTGCGGATGTGTGAGCTTTAGGAGGTTGTTCTGCAGTGAGAGAGAGCGAGTGCTCTGGATCGAGAGATAGAGAGAGAGAGAGAAGAAATAATTGGAAGAATGGCCAGAGGGGGTTTTGGGGCTTCGAATAGACGTCCGGTACTATGAACACCAGATATATTAGAATATAAATTCAACTACACTAGAGTAGTATCTGGTATCAATACTACCAGACGCTGGACATGGCACTTGGCTTGCCAAAAAAAATAGCACTTTCTATTCGATGTTGGTATTGCCGGATTTGAAGGCAACTTAGAAAAAAAAAGTTGCCAAAAAAAATAGCACTTTCTTTCCGATGTTGGTATTGCCAGATATGAGGGTAACTTAGAAAAAAAAAAGTTGCTGCAGGGGGTGCTCCTCATAATTTATGGCGACAGTGACATCAAATGGTAACATACGGACCAAAAAGGTGTATGTATGTGAATCGCTAAAAAATTTATCATATTTGTCTTTAATATAAATTGATTATTCATATTTTACTAATCTTTGAAAAACTTTATTATCTGATAAATACCTGACAAACACGAAAATCTCACATTAAAACAAGAAAGCTCTTTCTCTCAATGTAAATTAGTGATTCGTATTTACCAATCTTCAAACAACTTCATTTGATGAACAAATAGCAATTCAATATGTTTATGTCTAGGTAGTTGTCTCACAAATACCTAATCAAAATGGCAAACATGAAAATCTTCCATTAAAACAAGAAATCTCTCTCTCTCTCTCTCTCAATGTAAAATAATTCATAATTATTAATCTTCAAAATACTTGATTATTCAAAAAACAAATAGCAATTTAATAAGTTGAAGTTTAGGTTATTGTCTCATAAATACCTAATCAAATTAACAAGGGAAATTTACGTACGGACTGGGTTTTTCTATCATTACAATGGAATGGCTGAAAAATAGACCATTATTACCTAGAAGGACATATCTCCGAATTTTTTTATTTTTTTTAAATTTGCCCTCGGTCCGATGTTTACACTATCGAATGCTTGGTAACCCTGAGTTAGCAAAAATATGAGGGAGGGGGAGGTCATTTAGGGAAACGGGCATTATGAGAAAAAGCAAGTTTTGAATAGGTCTATAGTATCTACCCATCTGCTCCTTTGCAGTCCTCACCAGATCCTCCTTTTGGGCCACCTTGGTGGTGTATTGGACGTCGTAAGCCTTGATCCCAGGGTGCCTCTTCTCGATATGGGCAATCCAGTACTTATCCTCATCTAGAAACACCGTTAGCCTCCATGGTTAAGGGCCCTCCAAACCAAGCTCTCGTGGCTGAGACTGAACACCAAAAGATTGCAAGGGCATTTGTGTACCAATACGTCGGCAATGACCCTGTCTCGCTCACTGTCATGCCCCTGTCAAGTTGGAGGTGCAGTAGTGGAGCAGGGCATAGACTATGTTTTGAGGGATTTTTTTTCCCTTTTTCTTTTTTCTTGTGCAAAAGCTTCTTGACTGCTGGTGATGGTAACAGTTATTTTAGGAGTAGTGGAAGAAAAGATTCCACAAAAAACCCGAGAGGAGAGGTCATCGAGGATGAAATGCCAGCATTTTCTGATCCCATCCCATCCGCCGCAGCATTCCTCCCACCCTCCATCACTGTATGTAACACTTCCCCTCCCTCATATCTGAAAGTTAGACCTATGTGATATTTTTGCTAGGGAATATAAATTTTTTTTAATGATAATATTCACCCCTTTTGTATTTTGGTAAAAGGATCACTTACAGATGGTATTTTTACAATCAATAAATATTTCAAAATAAAGTAGGACAACAATAAAATAAAACTCAACCACTTGATGCCATTTTTACAATTTAATACTATGCTTGATAATATAAAATAAAAGAGCAAATTAAGTAAAAGAGAAGATACCGTAGATTACCTCAACCGGGCTTATTACACCCCACACTGAATCACCACATCCAATGGTGCGGGATCAGCCATTTAGCTTCAATCTCGAATTGATAAAGTTAATTTCGGCCAAACTAGATAACCACCTTTAAATCTTTACAAAACCCTAAATCCAAAATAATTAGGCTAAAACCTTAATTTTCCCAACCCTTAAATCTTTAGGTCAAGAGAGAGCGAAAATGAGACCTAGGGTTGGGGCGTGCCCCCTATGAGTCTTAGGAAAGAGAGAGGGTTAGAGAGAGAAAACTTGATAGGAGAGAGAGGGGCATGGCCCCTAGGGAGGAGAGAGAGAGTTTATGGGAGAGAGAGATGTGTTGAGATGGGGGGAGGAGCACCTTTATTTATAGTGAAATTTAGGTTTAGCGGTTCTTTAGGGTTTCCGATAGTTTGCCTCTTTCTTGAGATTGAATATAGACCGTTGATCAATGTGACTTGTGGGGTGAGAGATCTGAGTCATCCATTCTATAGTTGAGCCATCAACATTATAGAAGGTGTATGAACCATTATCCCCCTTTCCTTAAACTATTTTTCCCATCAATATATTTAATAAGTTAAATCTATTAAAATATCATGCACTCTATAAAATTGCATAATCCATCTCATATATTCCATAAGAATATATATACCTTCAATAATCAAGATAAAATATGGTCAATATTTTCTAATCAATATTTGACCATATGCTACAAGATATAATTACCATATTTAATAAACTTGAACACGTCCAAGGGTGGGGTGTGCCACCCATGTATGGTATGTGGGGCCCCACCTAATACCCACATGGTGGGCCCATGTACACTATGGGCCCCTATGTGTTTTTCAATAAATATTTTAAAATTAAACAAAATGAATTTTAAAACATTATAATTTTGTAAATTAATAACTTCATTTTTATAAGTTCAAAAATAATAAATAAAATATCAAATGACTTATAAAAATTCCAATAATAAATCTAAAATAATTTAATAATAAAATGAACACAATTAAATTAATATGATGGGAAGTAGATCCATATGGGTCAAGAATTCTATCAATGATCACGGGGTGGTACTCCACCTTCAACTGTAGACTACAGACCACACTTGCTTTATCAAACCAACCCAGTGTTTCCCATGACCCACAGTTCAAGCAGGGGCTCATTAACGGATCACCAAAGTCTGACCGCTAAGCCAAGGGGTCACAATCCCAGTTTGTGGATTACAAGTCCTCCCTTAGAGACGAGTCAAAGTCATCATGGTCTGATGCGCCCACAGCTCTATGGTGCATAGGGGTATCTCTCTCGCACATGTATACGCTTCAACCAAAGGTGGATAACTGGCTTTTCTGAATGATCTATCGATATGCATGCCATGTGTTGGAACATGAATGAGGATTTGGCCCCCGTCTCTGTAGGCCTACCTTCACACACAAGGGTCACACAGTCCTTCGACTCACTCATCTAGGCATAAACTCTGATCTCATCAAGGGCTAACCCAAAACCCTTCTCGATTTATTTTTTATGCCCAGGTACCTTGGGTTTTCTAACCGACTGGCCTAGATCGTCAAGCACAGTCCAGTATCAGCAAACATCATTTGCTTAGTATGATCCTTGAGGGACCACACACCCACTGAGTTTATATTCTACTATAATAAATGTTTTTCATTACACACTCATAAGACCACATAAACCCAATAATATATTGCAAACTTGGCAAAAATATCGGGGTTACCGAGAAGTCCGATATTGCAAATCTAAAAAAAATAAAAAAAAATCAGGTATTTATCCTTCTAAGTAATAACGGTCTATTTTTTAGCCATTCTATTATAACGATAAAAATATCCGGTGTGTATGTAAATTTCCCAATCTACCAACACGAAAATCCCCCATTAAAATAAAAAATCTCTCCCTCACACACACACACATTCTCATAGTAGATGGATGCTTCGTGCGAGCCTCTCGAGTCGTCACCTGCCAAACATGGCATTCCCTCCCGTCAAAGAAGACCTGCATGTGCCATCCAATCCTCACACTCTCTCGCCAAAGTAGACCTGCACCTACACCGACACCTACACCTACACCTACACCTGCTCTCTTTACCCAGCCACCCCACATTAGAATGAAGTTTAAACTCATTTTCCTCGTGTACTCACGAGGAAGACAATATTTTAGAACACTTATATTCTTCTTGTCGTTTTAATAAGCATTTCCTGTTTCCCTAACTCTTTTTCTATGAAAAACTTCATGTGATGTCAATTTATCAAAACAAAAATTCATGTGATGTGAAACGTCCATGTCATTGACATGGATCCCATGCTTCAACGCGCATAGAAGATAACATATTATACAGATAGATATCATGCGCCCGCCACCCATTCTAAGTCTTAGTACCATGAAATATGGAGTCCACTTTCTCCCCCCTAAACCCTAATTTTTACTCGTTTGGAGTACTCCAAAAACCCTAATTTTTACTCCTTTGGACTTACCTACCTTAAAGAGCATGAGAGAGGACCATCCACTTTGAAAAGGACGAGAGAGAGAGGGAGGGACTATCCACTTTTAAAAAGAGGAGAGATATGGTATCCATTTTGAAAAGGAGAGGAATGTAGAGGGCCCACATTGAAAAGTTTGTGAGCCCATCTCGACTTCCCTTTCTATCATTAGGGAATCGTGCCATATGTGGATTATCTCCATGATGGAAGTGGTGAGGGTGGTGGAGTATATTATTGATAGAAGTAGTCAAGGACTCTTTGATTGGAGTCATGGAAACCTAAAATTGGTGGAGTATTGCAATACCACTCAACAATTTTGGAAGGAATAAGATTGGACAATGCCATCAATTTATAAACTAGATCGGTGGATCGAATCTGTCACCCATTGGTTGTGAGTTTGCTTGGATCAGAAGGGCTTGAACTGGTTCTTTAGTTCTCTAGAGTTTTTTCTTATTGAAAAAAAAAAAAATGTTTGTGAAAACCAATGACAACTAGTAAATTTGGACATCCCAATCCCAAACTAATATCTTGCCAATTTCAAATTGCCTTGACAATTTTTAAAACCTTGGATAAAAGAAAGCCGATAATTGCATAAGGTGATTTTAGCTGGCCAATCCTTAATAAAATTCGACATTGATGGGAATCCTATATCTGTTTCAACCGTGTTTACAGGGAGAAGAATGTGATTGCAGATACTTTGGACAATGAAGATACCTTTAATGCCACCATGGCTCTTATTAGTGTTATCGTTTGGATATGTATCTATTGATAAGATTATGTGTTTTTGTATGGATATATATCTCTTGATTATGATAAAATTATCGTTTTTTATATGTATAATATGTATCTATCTATAATTGTTACTAGTGGAATATTTATATGTATATTCTTTGATAGATCAATATACATAGAGTTAAATATTCAGGTCTTGTGTATTCTTTGATAGATCAATACATAGAGAGTTTTTTGCAAATAGTATGAGATTCTATGAATTAGATCATGATTTCTTAGATCGCATTAGAATATTTATAAAATAGTGTAAGGACTTCATGCAGTTGAAAGATAGTTCTAAAGTTCGCATTTTTTACATTTATATCCGTATACGATGATACCTAAATGTGTAAAGACATTCTTAAAGTTGATGTTTTTGACACTTATTTCTTAATACAGTGCTACATAGTAGCCTTTGTAATATAGTATAGATTAAATATAATATCGTACAAAAAAAAAAAAAGAAAAAGAAAAAGAAGAGAGATCATGCAGCAATTGTGCATGGTATAGTTTTTCTTTTCTTTTATGCCATCTTTTTAAATGAAAATTTAGCAGAGGCAAGTATACTTCACCTATGGTGCATATTTTATATGGTACACCATCAACTACGAAGAATGCACATTAGCCTTTTATATGGATCAATGCCCATCATCATCTACAACTAGGCTTATTAAGAACAAAATGTGGTCCCCGGTGCACCAAATACCATGCTCTTGATAGGCTTTTAACATTTTATAATAGGGAAAAGTTTATATAGAGCTGAGGCTCTAAACAATCAAATTTGAGCCTACCTCAAAACTTTCACTAGAAGATATTATTTTGATGCTCAAGTATCCTCAAATTGATCATCTCGACATCAAAATGCAAGGGCATGAAAAAAAATGGATTTCAAGCTTGGAAAATAATGTATTTTGTAATGTATTTTTGGACCGTCAATTTTCAAGATTTTCAAGTTTTCATAGATATGTCGATCTACACAATTTTTGAAGCTTTAGACTTTATAAATAAAGATGAAAATATATTTTAGGACTATCACAAGGATTCTCAAAAACTACATTTCTCGATACTATTTGAAGGTAGGTTCAAATTTGATTGTTTAGAGCCTAGGCTGTATACAAACCGTACCCTTTATAATATTTATCCATGTGCTTTAATGAATAAGGAGAAGATAATTTGGTAATTATTTAAAGCGAAGCGAAGCGAAGGTAATTATTTAAAGCGAAGGGAATGCCTGGATTCGAACCTGAATCTTTTATACGTACAAGACAAAGAAGTGTTTTTGTAGGACTGCGGTTTGATAAAATTACACGACGGTTTCCTTGAAAGCAATTTAGTATAAAAAAATTAGTAAATAAATCATCTCGACCTTAATGAATCTGGAAAAAAATAAAAAAATAATATTTTTTATCCTAAAATACATTTGTCTTACAATATGTTTTTTAGACTATCCACTTGGAGCGTCAGAAAATCGAACTGTTTATACCATTTATTGAGCTTTAAATTCAATAGTTGTCCAATCTGAGGAAATCATTGGGATTTTTCACCAGTGCCGGCTTCCGATCCTAAAAAATTAAGATTTGGGCAATAAAATGAAGCTTGAGGGAAGGTCCAAGCATGGGCTACGATAGGGCCATCCTAGGCTAGTCTAGCTTTTTTGTTTTTCTTTTATTTTATTTTTTATTGTATTTGGCCCGACATGACCTCTTTTTTTTACAAAGAATTTAGCTCGATATGACCTTGATTGGGACAAGCCAGAGCCTCTTTAGCTCAGTCCGGCTCCAATGAGCCCTATATTATTGGCCCTATTTCCAACTAAGAGACTGCATTTTATTGCAGGGTTGTGAAGGTCATTTCCATTTATATTGGTTTGGATTACAAGGACCATTTTGTTGAAAGTTGATCGAGTTTTTTTTTAAAATACGGCATGGGTTATTTTAGCACCGTAGCACCCGGTATTCAAACCGTAGCACCTGGTACTCAAACATTAACTCAAGGTATTTCAGTCTCTCTTTTTATCGTAAAAAATAAAATAAAAATAAATAAGTAAGTTGACATTCCATCCTTTTAACCAATAAGTGCGAAATGAACATTACGACTCCCGCGGCCCTACCACAATGGCACTCTCTTCTAATTGGATGGTTGTAACGTCCACAAGAAACACATGTGCGAATTCAATTATTCCAAACAAAAGTAAGGGGGCCCATAAGCATTGCTCGGACCCACACGTGAATGTTATAGGTGACCTCATTTGGGGTAATTTAGTCATTATTCAATTTCCTTAATAAAAATTCAAAAGGAGCCAAAATTCAGAGTCCTTTTCACTTGGACGCAATTAATATTATTCAATTAATTAATTGAACACTTGAGCGTCACATTTCATGTGTGCAACAACAACCGAAGAATTTTACCCGCATGGCCGGAAAATTAAACCATTTAGGGTGTGGGGTGAGGGAGCCCGGCGACCAGAAAAAATATGCGCCGGAAAAAAAGCAAACACCATTGGAAAATTACAAATCCGGTCAAAACTCAAAAGCTCCATAGAAGGGAGTCATCAGAGAAGGCAGAATCTTCGAAGCCGTCATAATCGACAGCCGGAAAGGTTAAATTTTCACTTGGAAAATCATCCAAAAGGGGGCAAGGGAAGTTGAAATCCACTCCGGAGAACCCGCTGTTGCTGGAATCTGACAACAAAGACTCAATGAACGACCAATTCGAGTCGGATTCCTGCACAGTCTGCTCCGACTCTACGGGAGATTCCGGGGGGTCCTTTACAGTGGAGGTCGAGGTCGAGGTTGGGGCTGGGGCTTCGTTCGCGAACTGTGCAGCCACTGCCCTAATCTCGTCTGCAGTGAGCCTGCCAGAAGATTGAATTTTAGGGTGGTTCGCCGGAAAATTAAAGTGTGCTGTTGGTCCTCGCAGGCAGAAGACTGCAGCGTCATACGCCCTCGCTGCCTTCTCCGCTGTATCATACGAACCGAGCCAAATGCGCTCCCTACTGTTAGGGAGGCGAACTTCCGAGACCCATTTCCCCCACTTCCTCTTCCTTATTCCCTTGAATTTACTGCCATTATAGCCAGAACAATCTGTTTTTCTTGAAGTGCTTGCAGCCATGGCTCCTGTAGATGATTTCACCATCTCCTCGCTCTTATCCGGAAAAAAATGGAGGACTGGGTTTTTGGTTTCAATTGCTGCTGTTTCAAATTTCAAATGAGAATTCGATTTTATATCTCTTCTGAGTCAAGGAATTGCACCTTTCGCCCAAAATTTCGAGTTCAATGGAAACTTTTGCCTTAAATTAGCTTCAATTTCAGATCGAGTTGCGGTTTAATTGCCGGAAAATTGGTCCGGAAATTCGAATTTGCGGGTAAATATTTGCCGGAAAAGTCGAGGTTTTCGAGTTCGAGTGTGGGCAACTATGTGGAGTGGAGGCGTTTTTATAGTGTCTCACTTTGCGAGTGAAGTAAGCGTGTTGATTGTCCAGTCTACTGCCGTCGGACACGTGACGTTACAGGATTGGTCGGATAGGGATTACGCGGCCGCATTGTTTCACGTGGGTCATATAGGTGACATCTAGGGCTCACCCTGGGTCGCTTGTGTAACTGCCCGGAACTATGCGTATGTGCCCCAAAATGAAAATCAGAAGATTCCATATCCTCTCTCTCTCTCTCACCAACTCTCATTATCATTGTGTGATTCCAATATGATGCATTCACTTCATTTCCACCTTTTTTTTTTTTTATCTCTCTCTCATACCCTCTTTTCATATTTTGTAATTCAATCACCTCACTCTTTACTCCCACTTTTCCTTCTCACTCTAGGGTTGAGAATTTTCTGGATCGGGTTCAGATCAACCATGGATTTGGATCTACCCAGATCTTGATCTACACAGGAATATATATATATATATAAAGGATTTGGATATGGATCTTGATCGGATTGGATTCATAATGTTTGCTTCTTGATTTGGATTCGAAAACTATTCTGAATTCGATTTGGATCCCATTAGCTCCACAATCTGATCCAGATTGGAGATTAGGTCTTTAAAAGTTATGTGTGATATATATATATATATAAGGAAAAAATTTATACAAGGATGGAACTTTATAATGTAGAACTACGCATGTACCTCAAAAATCCATCGGAAAATGTAGTTTTAATATTGAAAACCTTTTGATTGATCATCTCGACATCGAAATGTATGACCATGAAAAATAAAAAGATTTTAAGGCTTAGAAATAGTGCATTTTACAACATATTATCTTCACCGTCCATTTTCAAGATTTTATCTACTTGATTTTAACCATTTTTTTAATTTAAAATTTGAACATTTTACATCAAAATTATATTACCATGATAAAATTTGAAGGTGCATCTTACCTCTACACCTATGGAGGCATCTGTATGCAAACTGCACCCCATATATAATGGGTGTGGTTTCCATCAGGTTGTAACTTTAAACAATCCAATTAAGGTGTACCTTCAAATTTTATCATAACATATAATTTTAGTGTAAAATATTCTTAGGATTATCTCAAAATCTATTTTCGTAACAAATTATAAACTTTTAAACTCCAGAAATGGTTAAAATCAAGTAGATCTATACACATATGAAAATATTGAAAATGGACGATATAGATAATGTGTTGTACGATGCAGTATTTTTGGGACTCAAAATCCCTTTTTTTTTCTTAGTCATACATCTTGATACCGAAATGATACATTAGAGGGTTTTTCAACATTAAAACAACATTTTCCGATGGATTTTGAGGTGCATCCGTAGTTCTACATTTTAAGGTTGCAAACCTTATATAAACTTTTCCATATATAAATCAATAAATATATACTATACACTATATATGTAAATTAATAAATATATGTATACACCCCTCTCAAAATTCTGACTAAGGAAACTCTTAAAAACCTAGATTTTGGTCCTAAAGGACCCCACAATGTACCTTAGGCAACTTAGACTCAATATAATTATCCCAAAACATCCCAAAAACCTATTCCAACTTGAGGTAGAGCCAAGATCTTTCCAACGGTTCAAGAATCGCCTGAATTAGACCTACAGATAAAAATATATAACAAATAATAATTTTGTCCTTGCGGGCTGATGACATAGTCAACGCATCTGATGATGCAGTAAACGCGTTTTCTTTAATTAGATAAGGCTAAAACTTCAAGATAAATCCAAAACAATCTGAAAGAAAACTCCAAAAAAATCAAGAAAATCACTAATAGAGTTATATAAATACCCCCTTCATAACCCAAGAGAGAGATAACAAAAACCATAAAGAAATCCCTTAAAAATTCTCGAAATTAGAAAAATAGCCCAAAAATACCAAAAATAGGAAAAACCTTTAGAAAATTCCTAAAAATTTAGGAAAAATTCCAAAAAAATTTGATAATATCTCAAAAGTCATATTCAATATATGAAGATCCCAAAAACCTTAGAAAAGTAAAGAAATTCTCCTCCAATCCAAAAAAAAGCCTAGGTAGACCTTACCTAAAATTCTCAGCTTTTCCTCTTGCCTTAGGAACCCTAGATTTAAGTAAAAAGAACCCTAGATCTACCAATTCCAGCTAGCAAAAGCATCCAAAAAAGGAGACGATGCCGTAAATTGGAAGAGCGGCATGATCCAAGCCCGAAACTTCGGGTTTCGGGTCCCTAGATGTAAGTATATCTTTCTTTGCTTAATTTCGTTTGTTTTTCATCATTTAATTATCTGCTTTATTTTATTTTTTCTAGAAACTAATTCATCTTTATATTTAATTAAATTTAGAAGCGTTTTAGGTCAAAATACGGATTTGGAGCTGGCGTTGCTCGTGGACTCAAAAAAAGAAAGGATCTGTATAGATTTGGGATTTTTCTGAGCTCAGAATTCAAGCGACCCCACTTTCTCTACCGTTAAAAAAAATAATACAGTTTTTGTTAAGATTGGAGCAGATCTCATCACAGAGATCAGAGCAAATCTGAGCGTAAATAGTTTGGCGCCCACCGTGGGGTACCTTGAGCTTCAGATACGTATTTTAGACTTAAAAAGCTTTCTGTATTTTTTTGTTTTTCTCACATTTATTTTGTCGGCAAAAATAAAAATAAAAATAAAAATAAAAATAAAAAAATAAAAAAAAGAAGAAACAAGGTAAATTTGAAAAGATTTCTTTTTTATTAGATTCGATCTATTCTTTCAAGATCTTATTGTTTCTCTCTCCATAAAAATTTAGGATGTTTTTTCTCTTAATCTTTATGATCTTTTGGATCTTTTAAATCATATTCTTTTATATTCATCTTTTAGATCAATTATTATTATTATTATTATTATTATTATTATTATTATTATTATTATTATTATTATTATTATTATTATTGTTATTATTATTGTTATTATTTTTGTTGTTGTTGTTGTTGTTGTTGTTGTTGTTGTTGTTGTTGTTTTTAGTATTATTTAGATCTTCTTTTATATCTATCTTGATCATCTTTAGCTTAAGATCATCTTCATCTTTAGATCATCTTTTAAGTCAATCTTTTAAATCATCTTTATCTTTTTTAGATAATCGTCTTTTAGATCTCATCTTGATCATATTTATCTTTAGATCATCTAGAACATCTTTATATCATCTTTATCATATTTTTCGTATCTTCTTTTATTCATACTTATCATTTTTAGATTGTATTTTATTTTCTTTAGATCATACTTATCTTCTTTAAGCGAATATATATATATATTGCGTCTTTTAGAAGCATCTTTATCGCTTTCCAAAAAAAAAAGAAGGGAAGAATCTTTATCTCTTTTGATAAAATAATTTTTTAATAAAAAAAACAAAAAAAAAAGATAGGTCTATGCTTTCTTTTTTTTATGTGTTTAGATTAAAAATAGATCTCATCTTTTTTATCTTATCTTTTGTTGTTAAATCTTATCTGCATAGCTTATAATTTTCTTGACATTATCTTCTTCTTTTTTTTAAAAAAAAAAAAATCTTTTTCTTTTAGAAGCATCTTTAGCTTGTTTTTTTTAGATAGCTAAAAAAAGATACAAAAAAAAAAAACAGAAACTACGTCGACAAAAGCCTCACTTGGAGTTGAAGATAAAAGAATATATTGACAAACTTTTAAAGGCAAAGTTCATCTTACCTGTGGACTATCCGGATTGGTTAGCCAATATCGTAGTAGTACTTAAGAAAGATGGAAGAATCATAGTTTGTATCGATCATAGAGATCTACACAAAGCATGTTCTAAGGATGACTTTCCTCTTTCAAATATAGATGCCTTAGTTAACAACACTGCTCGACACCAAATGTTATCCTTCATGGATGGTTTCTCTGGCTACAATCAGATCCTCATGGTGAAAGAAGACCAAAAAAGAGGTTCCTACATCACGCAATTGGGGGACATACTGCTATAGAGTCATGCCTTTCGGTCTTAAAAATTCTGGGGCAACATACGAAAGGGTCATGACTACTATATTTCATGACTTGATGCATGAAATTATGGAATACTATGTGGATGACATCCTTGTCAAATCCAAAACTCGGGATGCCCATCTTCTCAATTTGAAAAGAGTATTCGACCGACTTCGAGAGCATCAATTAAAGTTGAATCCTCAGAAGTGCGCCTTCGGGGTTGAGTTTTGCAAACTACTTGGTTTCCAAGTGAGCCAAAGAGGAATAGAAGTGGACCCAATAAAAATTAAGGCTATATCAGAAATGCTACCTCCAAAGAGGAATAGAAGTGGACCCAATGAAAATTAAGGCTCTATCAGAAATGCTACCTCCAAAGAATATACGAGAAATTTTGTAGGTTGCAAGGTAGAATACAAGCTATATCTCAATTAGCTGAGAAATGTGACCCATTCAATTGTCTCTTAAAGAAGGACACCCCATTTATCTGGGATGAGACATGTCAAAAAAGCCTTTGACCGTATACGAGAGTACCTTTCTAACCCACCGATCTTAAGTCCACCTGATCCCAACAAACCTCTATTCCTTTACGTTACTGTCACAGATAAGACAATGGGGGCGATGTTAGGGCAATATAATGACCAAGGAAAAGAGAAGACCATCTACTACATCACTAAGACAATGATTGACTATGAAATACGATACTCGGATGTGGAAAAATATTGTCTAACCTTAGTGTCGGCAACTCAAAAGTTGATGCATTATGTGTTTTCTCATACTATCAAGCTGATATCCAAGATGGGTCCACTCAAGTACCGGCTAAAAAGACAGGTTTTAAATGGACAATTAGTCAAATGGAGAATGATCATAAGTAAATTTGACATCAAATAAGTTACTCAGAAATCAGTCAAGCGGCAAGCAATTGTCGATCATTTAGCCGAATATGCCTTACCTGACTGTGTCCCCATCAAAACAGATCTCCCTGATGAGGAC